GCGACAGAGTGAGACCTTGTCTCAAAAAAAAAAAGATTTCAGGACATTTCAAGTTGTGTGTGTGTGTCGATGTTTGGCATGTATACATACACTTAACAACTGAATCTTAAATGTTCTTTGAATTGATGAGTTTGTTATTCATTTTGCCATCAGTTTTATGTTGGTCCCTGCATATTTGTATTAATATGGTGGATAGTAAGAGTATTACTGAAAGCCATTCCTACTGATACTGTTGGAACAATTTAGCTAGACCCAGAAGTGACTGCAAATTGTACAAATATTCCCCCACTGAGTCATAATTGTTAGTCCTACACAATGTCCCTTTAGGTGGGGATTCCCATAGACACTCCCATTGTCACCCAACTGAAGGGAAAATGTGGTAGAAGAAGTCCTAGTGGAGCGAGACAGTGATCTCCACAGATTATAGTGTAAATTACCTACTTTTACCAAAAAAAAAAAAAAAATCACATGATCATGTGACTCTATTACCAGGGTCTTTCCCAGGGCATTGGAAGGGGCCTATGCAAGCAAGAAGCCCTTGATGCATGAGCTTTATTAGCTCCATGGTAGATCTACATGTGAAGGTTTACTCAACTTAATCTAGGCCTACTTCCCTGAACATGGTGAGAGGTGACAACCTGCTGGTGGCCCTCGCTTGCTCTCAGTGCCTCCTCAGACTCGGGGTCCACTCTGGCCACGCTTGAGGAGCCCTTCAGCCTGCTGCTGCACTGTGGGAGCCCCTCTCTGGGTTGGCTGAGGCCGGAGCCGGCTCCCTCTGCTTGCGGGGAGGTGTGGAGGCAGAGGCACGGGCGGGAACCAGGGCTGCCAGTGGCGCTCGCAGGCCAGCGTGAATTCCGGGTGGACACGGGCTTGGTGGGCCCTGCACTGGGAGCCGCCAGCCCACCAGCCCCCGGCAGTGAGGGGCTTAGCACCCAGGCCAGCAGCTGTGGAGGTTGCACCAGGTCCCCCAGCACTGCCGGCCCGCCCGCACCACCCTCGAATTCTCACCGGGCCTCAGCTGCCTGCTGCGGGGCAGGGCTCGAGACCTGGAGCCCACCATGCCCCAGCCCCCCACAGTGGGCTCCTGCATGGCCCGAGCCTCCCCGACGGGTGCCGTCCCCTCCTCTGTGGAGCCAGGTGCCATCAACCACCCAAGGGCTGAGGAGTGCAGGCGAACTGCATGGGACTGGTGGGCAGCTCTGCCCCGGTCCTGGTGTGGTATCTGATAGGGGAAGCCAGCTAGGTTCCTGAGTCAGATGGGGACTTGGAGAACTTTTATATCTAGCCTTAGGATTGTAGATGCACCAAACAGCACTCTGTATTTAGCTAATCTGGTGGGGACTTGGAGAACTTTTATGTCTAGCTAAAGGATTGTAGATGCACCAATCAGCACTCTATGTCTAGCTCAAGGTGTGTAAACGCACCAATCAGTGCTCTGTGTCTAGCTAATCTAGCGGGGACTGGGAGAAATTTTAGATCTAGCTAGAGGATCATAAATACACCAATCAGCACTCTGTGTCTAGCTCAGGGATTGTAAACGCACCAATCAGCGCTCTGTCAAAACAGACCAATCAGCTCTCTGTAAAATGGACCAATCAACAGGATGTGGGTGGGGTCAGATAAAGGAATAAAAGCAGGCTGCTGGAGCCAGCAGTAGCAATCGGCTTGGGTTCCCTTTAACACTGTGCATTTGTTCTTCCGCTCTTTATGGTAAATCTTACCGTTGCTCATTTTTGGGGTCCGTAATTTTACAGCCTTCATGAGCTGTAGCACTCACTGCAAAGGTCTGCAGCTTTGCTGCTGAAGCCAGCGAGACAACAAACCCACTGGGAGGAACGAGCAACTCCAGATGCACTGCCTTTAAGAGCTGTAACACTCACCCCAGCAGTCTGCGGCTTTATTCTTGAAGTCAGCGAGACCAAGAACCCACCAATTCCGGACACAATGGTGGCTGGCTGGGCTTCTTTCACTTGTCACTAAATGTTGAGAAATGACTGGCATTTCAGTCCAACTCAGTTGTCCAGTATTTCCTCAACTTAAAAGCCTTGCCAGTTTGGGGTTCCATTCCTGCATATCCCCACCTTCATACAGTACATACAAAAAGCAGGCAAGCTTTGAGGAATGTTTCATAAGAGGAAAGTAGGTTTTGGTCCGGCCTTTCCATCTGCAGTAGAGAGGGCTTCCCTCAGTCGTGTAGGGCTGTTGTCTACATAAATAATTAGAATCACTGCAAGTCAGTATGTCAGCACCATTCTGGTAGCCCCCTCTCTTGCAGTTCCACGAAAGAAATACTGTGCTGGCCAGAAGCAGTAGTCAGCTTGTCTGGCTGCCCTCCCTGGAACAAGGGCCTGGCCTTGAGGCTTTAAGACAGCCTGATCCAGACATGAGTCCTAGTGCTCCTTGGAGCATCTGATGGCTTGCATGAGTGGGCTAGAAAGTTGGAACAAGCTATGAAGGAGAGAAACCTAGCCTGGGACTGAGGCTGGTGCAGGTCCAGGGCTAGGTCCAGGCCTGGGGTACTCTACCTGAATCCAGTCCTGGGTGTTGGAGGGGGACTTGAGACATTCTGAGGAGGGTGCTTGAAATTCACACAGGGCACCTGAGGTGTCTGTGCCCATATCTAAGAGCAATACTAGCAATGAGACTTTTTTCTTTGTTGTTTTTTTTTTTGTTTGTTTCTTTTTGTTGTTGTTGTTGTTGTAGTAATGACTGTGAAGTGTTCAAAGATAGAACCTGTTGGAAAAGCTGAGCTTACCCTGGAATTGTTCACTGTCATTTTAATTGGCTCCATTTAAATAATTTTCCTGAAGAGTATGATGATTGAACTTTAGTGAGTGTATTTTGTCTCCAGGGATTTTGATTGCTGGCCACCCACCCCTCTGTACTCCCAACCTCATCCCCCTAGTGGGACCTTCTCTACAGTCTCTATATGAACTCCCATTCTCACCTCCTCATTCTAGTGTTCCTGTGTGGCCATCTCTGGATGTTATTTGTAAAAGATTTGAGAGATTGAAAACAAACTTCCATGTCCATTTCTCTGTCTTTGTTTAGGAAACAGGGAGGATGTTGGTGAATTGAAGCCAACAGCAAATGAGTGTGCTCATAACTTTCTTTTGCTAGTTTCCCCTCTGTTGTTAGTTCTCCCTCTTGCTAGTTTCCCCCTCTCTTGCTACTTTCCCCCTCTCTTGCTAGTTTATCTTCTCTTGCTAGTTTTCCCCTCTCTTGCTAGTTTTCCCCTCTCTTGCTACTTTACCCTCTCTTGCTAATTTCCCCCTCTGGTTAGTTTCCCTCTCTTGCTAGTTTCCTCTTCTCTTGTTAGTTTCCCCTCTTTTGCTTGTGCTCTGCTTCTCATTGTCTCTGGCTGCTGTCACCTAGGGTATAGCATTTGGCCTTGCATCTGATGGTGGCAGAGCATGTGTACAAAGAATGCTTGAAGGAACTTAGTTTGGAGAACAAAAGATTTAAGGAAGACACGTGAGCTTCAAATATCTGAAGGTTCATCATGTGGAAGAGAAGAAGTCTTATTGTTTGTGACCCCAAGCAGTTAAATTGGGTCAGTGAGTAGAGGTTAGAGAAAGATTCAATTCCAGGGGAAAGAAAAACCGTTATGGTTGTCAGAAATGGAATTTGCTATGTAGTGGTGACCACTTGGCAAATATTTTAGGGACCTGATTCAGACATTGGTTGGATTTGGAATTCATTCTTCTGTGGCAAGTTGAAATGAAGTATGAGGAAATCTGTGTAACAGCCCAAGGTTAGTTAACATCCTCACAGAGCAAGAACATCCCTTTTCTTTGATTTTACCTTCTCCTAGGTTCAAGTGGACCCCACTTCTGGGAACTGTACTGTGAATCTTTGACTCTTGCATGTGGCATTTCTTCTACCCTTGTATGTTTTATTCCTGTAGCTCTGCTGCCATTCCCTGGCTGGGACCCCCTTTTATCTGCCGACTTGGTTAACTCCTTTCTCATGTGTCTCTCAAAGTCACAGCCTAACCAGGCATGCCTATCTAATCATCACCTTACCTAGGCTCAGCTTGTCTGTATGTGGCTTAAGCCAGGAGTTAGTTTGGGGACTAAGTTGTCATTAAACCCTTTCCAGTACCTGTGGTTCTGTGAATCGATAGCTCTTGCCTTATTTGGTTTGGCCGTGATTGGACAGTGGGTCCCACTGGAGGATGGCTCCTGGAATAATCTCCCCCATCATGCCCCCCTCTGACTTTTCTCTTTCATTCTCTAATTCCCTCACTAACAGAGAAACAATATATTTTAATGAGGCGTTCTGAAATAATTTCTGGTTTTCTTTTTCTGGGTTTTTTTTTTTTTTTTTTTTTTTTTTTTTTTTTTTTTTGAGACAGAGTATCACTCTGTTACCTGGCGGCATGATCTCTACTCACTGCAACTTCCGCCTCCCAGGTTCAAGCGATTCTCCTGCCTCAGCCTCCTGAGTAGCTGGGATTACAGGCACCCACTATCATGCCCAGCTAATTTTTGTATTTTTAGTAGAGACGGGTTTTAGCATGTTGGCCAGGCTGGTCTCGAACTCCTGACCTCAAATGATCTGCCTACAAGGGCCTCCCAACATACTGGAATTGTAGGTGTGGGCCACCATGCCTAGCCCTTGTTTTCATTACTAGAAAAGAATTAAGCTTTATGGTTTTGCATATTTCAAAACTATTTTACTCTATGGAATCTTCTCTTTTAGTGTGTTTTAGAAACAGAACGATAGAGGAAAGAAAAATATGATGAGACAATCAAATTTATTCATTCTTCCTCAAATGATCTGGACTTAGTCTTATCTGCCTAGCGAAAAGTTGGGCTGTGTTCCCAACAGTGGGAGTGAAAAAGTAGCAATACCATATACCCACAGCCGAAGTGATTTCAGCCCCCACCCTGAGGCCTCACAGGAGCAGACTGGACTCGTCAGCGCCTGTCAGTCATGGCCTATGCTCCTTGCTAAGCCTTTTGTCTTCCTGGACCAAGATCCTTAACCTTTGTCACATCACTGATTTGGAGTACCTGCTGGATCACTTGGCAGAAGTGACACCAGCTCTGGAGTACCTCAGTCTGCTGGGCAACGTGGCCTGTCCCAACGAACTGGTCAGCTTGGAAAAGGATGAGGAAGACTACAAGAGATACAGGTGAGTGTCCAGGGATTGGAGCATGGTGGGAAAAGGGAAAAAGAGAAGCTTTAGGGGATGATATTATACTCTGGGGTACATAGTAGATGTTTGGTAAACATCAGTGGGCTTCCCATGACAATGTTAAACTTTTACCTTTTGGTAACCTACAGCCATTGTCTCTCTTGGTTGAGGTCACAAAAATTAAGAAAGATGAAAAGTTATTGCCTTGTCCACTTTTTTTGTGAAGTGCCAGATATTAAGTATTTTAATACTTAATTTAATACTTAATATTTAATACTTAATACTTAATATGCAAGTTATATGGACTTGTCACAGCTACTCAGCTCTGCTTTCATAATGCAGAAGTAATCATATGTAATTTGTGAACGAATGGGCATGACTTTGTTCCAGTAAAGCTTTATTTACAAAACAGGTAGCAGGCCAGAAATGACCCATGGGCTGTAACTTACTGACCCCTGCTCTGTGTTGTAAGATCTTTCTGTGGTCTGTCTCAGCATCACCTTGAAGAGAGAGATGACTTCCCAGCAAAATTTAGGGAGCTCACAGATGATCTAAAGATGAAGTCCCACAGGCCCATATCTTTCCACCATAGAGCTATGCTGTGGTGCCCACCAGCCATGCGCTTTGATGGGCTCCAAGTAGAAATGCTTTTCATTCTTCTGTCTACTTCTCAACCATCTGCTTTAAAAGCCCTGATCCAAAATCATTTAGAGAGTCTTTTTGGTCTTACCCATTTTACCAAAGTCACTTAATTTTCCTTCTTCATTTAAAATTGTCTGTGTTCTCATTGTGGATTGTTTTGTAAATGCTTTAATGACATTTTCATGGACCTCTTTCTCCATTATGACATAAGCTCTCATTAAACACCCCACCCGAATAACTCTTAAAAATAACTTAATAAATTTTGTATATGTATATATGCATATATATACATCTATGTGTATATGTATATGTATGTGTACACACACATTCATGTACTTGTTCATTCATTCATTCATTCATGGGGCCAAGAAGCTACGTGTGAAGCCAACCATGTAGGCACGTTTTTGTTATTTTTTCTAGAATGAGGGAGGTAGAGAGGGATTGGTCTCAAGTACAGGGCTTATGAGGTTGCAAAAGGAAAAGAAAAGCTAAGAAAAATTTTTTTCTTTTCTTTGTGTACCATTAGCTCTCAAATAATTACTATTTGTTTTTTCTATTGTAACTGGTCGCATTAGCAAAAGCACTAAGACCAAGGTGTATGGGGTCAGATCAGAAGATCTGATGTGGAGTCCAGCTTTGCCAGTGAGACCTTTCAAATGGGAGGACAGTCTACATCAGTATTCCTTAATCAAGGTTCTGCCTCTGAGTCATCCAAGGTCTTCTGATGCAGTTGGTGGCAATTACAACACAACAGTCCATAGGTGTTTCTGATGTCCAGTTGGCTTTAGAATTCGGAGACAATCTGCTCCCAACCAGTTCCATTTCTTCCTTTACTGTCTCACACCGTTTCATAGATTCTATCTTGTGTATTTCTCTCACTTCTTCATGTATTTCCACATCTAGAGAATGACTTCCGGTGGGTAGGAGCTGCGTTGCCTTGACTCTTGAAGCCTCATCAATACCTAAAGTAGTGCTGGATGTGAAAAAAGGGCTTGGCACCCTTTTTTTTTTTTTTTCTGGGGGTGGCTTGAAACCACCTTTCCTTCTCAGGAGCTAGGAACTTATAGGGAGATGCAGGGATATTTGGCCATCTCAGATGCCCACTGCCCATTTGGAATCAGAGCCATTTGGATGTTAACAAATGCAGCTAATAAGCAAAGGACTATGATTCAGACTCAATCCAAGTGCTGGTTATGGGTCATGAATCTTTAGGGAGGGCTGGATTCTACAAGTGTGGTCTATCTCATGGGCTAGCCTGGGCACACTCCAAGCCCATCCTCCCCACTCCAGTTCTGTTCCCTTGGAAGGAGTTGAGGGGTGGGGCTAAGGGAGGTGGTTTGTGAGTACACATATGACAAAGTTGCCATGAGAGGCTATATTCTGGAGGTCATACAAAACCAAAATCATAACTCGCAAAATTAACTTAGAAAATTTACATCATCCACAATGACGGCAAGATGCTTGCACTCCGAGAGAAACAGGAACTAAGAACAGCACAAGGAACAGTAAATATGTTCCCACGTAGTTACACATTCACTGCACAGCAACTGGTTGAAGAGTGGAATGGTAGGCTGATTCTCTAGCACATTTAAATGTTTTATTCATTTAATATCTTTATTTTTTACTGTTGATTTGATGAGTGCTCACACTTGTATATGGAAGATATAGATATGTGTTTGATATAGCTCCATTCTATGGTCTGTAAGCAGATCCGCTTTGTCCTTCCTCGAGTTTGTGCTCCATTTGCCACTGAGAAATTTTAGGGTTTTGCAATATGACTTTTGACTCTAGAGTTCCTGTGGCATTTGTGTTTATACAAAGCAATGCAGCTGCTTTTTTTTTTTCTTTTGGTAAAACATTTTCCTGGCCCTTCATCCACAAAGCATGAGGGTTGCCTTCCTTCTAGCTGTTACCCAGAGCCTAATAGTAGAGCCTCTATGTAAATTTATGTGACATTTTCACTAGAAAATTGCTTAAAAATGAATGATATTTCTACAGTTTACTGTTTTTCACTTTAAGTACATTTTCTGACAATATGTCTTCTATTAATCATTTAAGCAATACTAGGAGCCTTAAAGGACTGTATTCAGAAGCAAGAACCCATGGTTCATTTAGTGCTGTCTGAAAAAATTTCTTATTGATTGGCATCCTCTGTGGTTATGTGATGTAATATTTATAATATGTCACCCAGCCATACATCAAAACAAGTGTGTCTGTTGTTTCATTTCCATGGGAGATGTTGATTTCAAAGAGGTCAGCCCAGTTTTTAGGTCACGTTGTGGCCAACCACTGGACCAGAAATGGGAAGTGACTCGATTTGTGTAGTTATTGGAAATGGCATCACAGAGCTTGAGTTTCTATGGAGTCTTTCCTCCCCTCCTCCTACATTCACCCCTTTCACTTCCTCACTTACCCCCTGTGCACCCAGTTGGATTTTCTTGGCACACATCCCCACCATAAAACAGGCTCATTAAACTTATATGTGAGCATGAACATACTACCAAGTTGTTGAGTAGCACCCTGGCCTCACTGGGGCAGGAGCAGAACCATGCCTGGGGTTTCTCTTTGCCATTCATCGTAGTTCATGGCTGAGAAATGTCCACGGCCCTGTTATTATAGGAGCTTAAACCTGTCTGTGATTTTCAGTGTGTACACACCATGCTGCTATTTTGGGATGAATGTTGAATGGAGGTGAATGTGATAATCAGCAGCCTCCAGGATTTGGGCAGGAAGAGAACAGCAGTGCAAGTCTTGGCTGGAGAGACCACCATGCTACTAAGAAACCACTTTGGTGCCCCTTGTGGATTTCAACACTAGCCAAAATAACAAATCAATATGGGGAAGCTGGGTGCCCAGAATGGTCTATTTCTTGCTTCCCTTGCCATCTCTTTTTTTCTTTTTGCTACAGAAAGAACAATGGACTGAAGGTTAACAGTAGACAAGTCTGGACTTCACCTTTCAGATAAGGGAGTTGATCTCATGGTCTTTTAGCTCTTCCTCTGTCACTGAACCCTCTGTCGTTCATCCCCTCCTGCCACTCCAGTCTCTGGTTGGCCTTGCTTTCCTCCCTCCTCCGTGTAGGCACTTCTGTATTCCTTACAACTTTCAGTTATTTAAAACGTGACACCCTTTCTTTGTTCCCCTGCACGGAGCAGCCCTGGGGCCTGCCCAGTGTCTGCAGCACTCAGCCAAAGGGAAGGAGGGAGGGACCCTCCGCCGTCTGGTCTCTCTGGGCTGCCACCATTTCCCAGACGAATAGGAGCTGTAAAACTTGTGGCTTACATAACCCAGTGAGCATTCTCCAGCTAATCTACAATCTGGGCTTTGAAGATCACAAGAAAGCAAAGGTCACGACCCAGAGATCAAAGTGACAGAAGCCCACAGAGTAATTGCTGGTTACCCTCTGTAGAGGGCCTTGGTCTGTCCTGTGGGTGTATTGTTTGCACAGAGACTTCAAACATGCTGCCGGTGAACTGTGAGGAAAATCAGCTGGCCTCTGCCAGTTGTCAGGCATTCATGAATGCTGTAGGTGAGCTCACCTCGGCTCATTAGAGTGAGATCATTGTCATCTCTCTGAGCATCTGCAGTTATTCCACTCATAGTGTTTGTTCATTACTTTGTGGTCTTTATTGACTTTCTCACTGTCGTCATTTACTTGGAGGTGTTGGGGGGTGGTTATATAAGGAAATTGGAATAACAAGAAAGGACGACATGGACATATTTCTTGTAAGTCAACTTTGAGCCACATAGAGTTCAAGCAAGGTAACATTTGAAGGACATCATTTGGCCCATCCCCTTCACAGCATGGATAGAGAAACTGAGGCTCAGAAAGGCAGCAGAGACTGAACCAAGATCACAGGGCAAGATACACTCAGAGTCTGGCCTCTTTCCCTATGCTATTAGTCCCCAAGCTTTTTGTTACAGAAACTTCCCCTCCTTTTATTTTTCTCCCCAACGCTTTAAAAGCTTTGGTCTCTCAAATAGACTGCACTGAAGCCATTGCTAACTTTATTATTATTATGAAACAGATACATTCAGCAGTTTATCAGGGCTTCTGTTCAGCATGAGGTAACCAGTGCTATTAAATTGAGTTAATGTAATCTAGTCAACAGTGAGGAAGCATGATATTTTGTTGGCAGACTCAACTATCCCGTCAAGCTTTGTGAAAGTTTGAGAATGGCACAGATCACCCATTGCTGCCTTCGGGGTCCCAGGTAGGGCACCAAGTAGCTTGTACCATGTCTTCCTGCCTCCAAAGGATGGAAGCAAGAAGGCAGCAAGAAATAATGCAAAGAAGCATAGACTGCCATAAATGGAAGAACATTTCCAATGACCCCATGCCCAGTTCCCTCATG